TTTATAAATATATTTTATGATGATCTATAATTTTAAATTATTAGTATGTTGGTAGATTGTAGTAATTAATTTAACTGTCAATTTAGCAAGATATGACGAATGAAACATTCTGTATTAACTAAATTCTCATAATTGATGTAACCACAGCGTATTAAGACCAGTTTAATTTTCTTTCATATTTTACTCAAAAAATATAACTGTGAAAATAAAAAGTTTTGAGTATAATAGTGGAGTAATTAGTTTAAGAGACTTCACATTTTAGACCAAATACCCCAAAGTAATCAGAGATATCATGGTAATATGAAAGTTTTTTTTTTTTTTTTTTTTTTTTTTTTGTTCTTTATGAAAAAATTTCAGAAAATAGTTAAGTATATTTTTTTATAAAAAAAAAATCAATATTTTTATAGAATTTATTTGCTAGGTTGCATTTAATTCTACTAAAAAGATGTAAAAATTATTCATTGATTAATTCATACTTAATTTAATTCGAACTAAGGAGGATTTTACATTAATTTATCGTAAATATAAATTTTACAAAATTTTTAAATTTATGTAAGAGTAACCCTAAAAAACTTTGACCATTTTCTAACGGAATTAAATATAATTTTTGTTTAAAAACTATTCCAAAACTATATATATATATATATATATATATGTATACAAATTTGTGAATGTCAACCCAATAAAGTAGGCACACATGCAGGTGGGGATGGAAATGAAATGTTAAAATAAGGAATGAAAAGATGAAGTCTCCCCGACAAAACCCTCCTCCTTTGCAACAAAACTCTCTCTTCTTCAACTTTCAAAACCCATTCCCTCTTGCGGAAGATATGGAAGAAAAAAAAAAAAAAAAAAAAAGGAACAAAGACTATTTACAAACCAAATTCAAAAGAGAGAGAGAGAGAAAGCACGCACACACCCACGATGGATCTTTGTCTTCTCATCCATTCATTTCTTTCGCGTACGAGTTCTGAATTAATTTTCATAGTCTACCCTTCTGTTATTATGATTTTTTATAACACAAATTTCAGAATATTCCATCTTGTACAGAGTCTTAATTTGGTCAACCTATAAATTAGTCTTTAAATTTTAATATTGGTTTTGAATTTGGAATGAATTTCTCTAAAGAACCCATAAAATAATAAATATGAATTGTTTAAAAAACTGTTCAAGAAGAGTGTAAGTAAAGGCACTGTTTCCTCCCATGCAGCTCGGCGTGTTTCAACAAATTTCTAGGCCTGTAAAGTAGCTCCGAAACACGTTTTATTTTTTCACATTTTAATTAATTTTGAAACTTTCCTGCATTAATTACTAATTATACGAGTCGGCTCTTAGTTTTCTATTTGGAATATTCTTGAGTTTCTATAGTATATGTATGTATGTATATATATGTAATATTAAGGTCAACTCACACCATACATGCATGCCGTGTGTATAGATATATATATATGTGTGTGTGTGTGTGGACAATAAGGGCATGCTGCATGCAAATTAATATCAAGTGCATGTTTCTAAATATTTTATTTTTGTATGTCGGCAATAAATAATTTAGTTTATTTTATGCGTGTGATGAGTTGTGAAATTTTAGTGTATTTCTGAAGTTAAACCAGACTACCCATGAGCCCCGAAAAAGATGAACCGTAAGCAAAACACGGTATGACGTGTTGGATGATATATATGTATGGTATGTATGTACATTCAGTGTTTGTGATATTTACTTGTTAATCCAGTTTTAAGTTAAATTAATCTCTCGATTTATCAAAAAAAATTTAGTTAGTCATTACTGCTAATGCAAATTAACATCCTTGTTTTAAAGCGTTTTGGATTAAATTTTTTGACATTTAATACTTTTTTTTATTTATTCAAATATTTTAATCTAAAGTGTTATCAATTAAATTTCTTGATATTTAATAATTTTTTATTTATTAAAGTATTAATTAAATACGACATTAGATGTTATATACAGATATCTACATATTTAAACCCAAAAGCAAAAAAATAGGATATGGTGTTTGACCCAGTTTAAACTTTTTGGTCCATGTATATATATAAACTTTCAGAAAATTTTACTAATTATATGTACTTAGATAATTAAAAACATAATATATAGATATACATACACACACACACATATATACGTACTCTGTAACTTTGGTGCTTTCACTTCACCACCACCACCTCCCGGCAATCCCAAACACAGCTCCGTCTCTTTCAGATTCCGTTAACGCTCCGCAGGCAACCATACTCGCAATTTTCTGGCTCACCAATTCTTACCTCAGATCTATTCTCTCCTTTCTGTGGTTGATATCTTCTTCTTCTTCTTCTTCTTCTTCTTGCTGTGTCTTCGTGATCTTCTTCTTTCTAAACGATATGAAGGAAAACACAAGGAGAGAACCACCACAATAATATAAAGAGGTTTACATATAATTGTAACCATCAACATGAATCTAAAGATGAAATTTAGCATAGGACGTAATTTTAATTTGTTTGATAAAATAATAATACCAAATAACCCATTTTTTAAAAAATAATCCGATAAGGAATCATTTAAATTAAATTAAATTTAAAAGATTTAAGCATATATATACATATATACACACACACACACACACGTACGTAATATTAAAAATTCATATATCATGATATTATCATTGTAAAGACAAACCCATTTACAAATTGTTTTCAACTCTAATGAAAAAATCATGTTCAAATTTATAGGTAAAAATTTTGGTTCAATATATTTTTATTAATCTTTTTTAAATATATTTAATTGTCAATTCATAAGTCATTTCAAAACCAGTTAGATAATTTGATTGAGTAGCTAATTTGTATTAATTAGTAGTCAATTAATATTTGATTAATTGCATACCCTGATGATGAAATTGATGAAAAAAACAGCAGGACTTGGATGGCTCTTGATTTTTGACCCATCTAATCTCCATCATAATCATATATATAATATATATATTTCAATGAAAAAAAATAAAGAAAATAGCATACATATTATTTTATAATTAATTGCTTAAGCTCACTCTCTTTTTCAACCAAAATTGTATGTGAATGGGTTACGAGAATAACCAACTATATATAATACTTTGAAAATTATCAACCCACCGGCATACCCCGAATCCGATCCATTTATACAAATGGGTATGACCCGAACCCGGTTCATTACCAGTCCAAATTATATGCTGTAATTAATTGTCCAATTATCTTCTCGTAACTACTCCAATTCAGTCCGGTTTCATATCGATGAACACGTTACATTTGAACTTACATTTCCCCAAAAAAAATAATAATTAATTTAAAAATAATTAAATTGTGAATAAATAGTTGATTACCACATGTTACGAATAAAATAAATTAAATAATTTTTTGTAAATTATTTTTTCACTGTATAATTAATATTTTATTTTTTTTCTAAATTTAAATTAAATTATGTGATTTTGTATTATAATTAATATATATATATATATATATCACTTAGTTAATAAAATATCTATTAAAATATTAATTTTTTATTTGAGTTTAGCCAAGCTATCCATAAGCACACGACGCCCAAATTGACTTGACCCGATCCGATCAAACCGACCCGAATTATCTGACTTTAACAAACGTATCGCTTACTTCTTGGTGATCGGCCAATCCCAATATATAAATATTGAAGGTTTGACGATCTGTGCTTTTAATGCTTCCATCTTCCTTGAACGCAAAGGAACTTTTATTGGGAAACAACAATCTCTTAAACAAATACACACACACATATATATAGATATACACAAACACACATAAATATACGTATATTACATAATATATGTATAGAGTAGCATAGAATTTAGCCAGCCAGCTG